TTGAAGGGCTATTTTTGACGCGCGCGATTTCTCGAACGAGCGTAATTTGGAAGTCAAAGTGCCGCAAGTGCGCCGTAACCGTTACAGCCGCAAGACACTCGCAGTTCTCGTAAAGAGTGAGAAACGGCTGAGGCAAAAAGTGCTAAATCCCACTTAGGAAAGTGCGCCACTTAAAGGGTTGGCCAGGACCCAAGCGCCCCCATAGGTACGCCCGCACACATCTTCGAACTATGTGAACACGGAAACACTAGGAAACACGTAGCACACGACTAGTCCTTTCCGCTCCAGAGAAGCGCTCGAAAACGCCTTCGTTACTTGGTGTGTGCATGTAGATGCCGAGATGTGAGATTCGCCCCGCGGTGATGCTGCACGAGCCTAATGTGCTTTCCGTGTCGCCGTCGTACCTCAACACGTGTCCGCAACTGCTCGCGTCACCCACCCCACGGCCCACGCGTTGTACTATCGATGTATTGCGCCGTGTATTATCAGGCGATCTCGTGTGGGATTTCGCCCTCCAACCAACCGCGAAGAATTTACACGCGTCGCATTCAACTTGAGAGAAAATTTCGCTCTCCACACTCAAGCAAAAAGCGTGGGTTCAACACTTGTCGTATAACAACGTGCCATTATGGGCATACAACAAACTGCCCCTGAATATAATGGTTATTACCGTGGTCGCCATCATCGCGCACCCCTTCTATCATTTCGGCGTTACTCGCAGAATATTAATAGCTAATGCCATGAGTAAACACAAGTCAATGTTGTATGAACACTGGGTCCGAGAAGTTGCTACGTGGACCGAGCGAGGGGTTTGAATCATAATAAGACACTCAGACAATCATAATAACACAGTAAGACACTCTATGTTGACACAACACTCTGTGTAATGAAAAACGATGCAAAATCTCCTGAACTCAGTTATGACATGTATATTTACTTCTTTCCTACATGCTGGAAGCTGATATTACAAATGTCACGAGTCTTTACGGCCGGCATGACAGCGCTGACATGTTATTTTCATATGTTGCGAACTTGCGCGACAAAACGTAACAAGAACTATTCTCGTCCCTGCTAGTTTAATCTCTTAGCGAGACGCACGTCCCTATTCCCGGCAACTTTTTAATTTTCCGCTTGGTGAGCACTCCTCCTGTCAGGAAAACATCACATATTACATTTGCTGATAAAACTAAATATTAAAATCCACTTTTTGAGTGAAAAAGATTGTTACTATCATTATTGCCATGAAAAGTGAATAATATAAATACTGGTTGTGTAATAAATGTTATACGTTAAATAATTTGATTGTAATAAGTTTAGGGAATGAGTAAATTCCTAATTTACGAAAGTTTGGATAATTGGCGATGATTAACGCTTTCGACGTTTTTTAAATTTTTTTAAAATTATTTATTTGGTTTTCAACTCTTTGGTTTTGTTTCAACCACTTCTCGCTTCAACTAATTAACGTTAATTTACGACTCCGTTTTTGGATTGACTAACGATTAATAGCATATAATTCCTGGTGACACAACAAACTGCTCGAATTATTCGAATTCTAAACGTTGAACCGTTAATTTGTTTACTACCTAATGTCGGAATCTTTATAACGTTTTTTTCTTCTTTTTGATGTTAATTTAGCCTATTTATGTCACACATCTCATGATGTAGGTATGTTAATTTCGCGTCGTTTTCTAATAGCTGGCCGACGTATATTTATACGATGAACAACGTAAACGTAAAAATTAAGCATGTTTTACTATAATGTAATGGGTTTAATAATCGGAACGTTAATTTGAAGTATTTGTTTCGGTTTGAAACATTTTTGATTGACGCAAAGCTGCCTCATGCTTTTATGCGCCCTATTCCCTACAAATTATTTAAATAAAATTGAATAAAATGTAAATTGTATGTTGGTTAAATGTGATGCATGTTTTATTCATGCTTGCCGATGGATGAATGCTAAACGCGGTAAAATGTAAATAATTACAAAAAATTGCCGTACAAAAATGTGTGAAACTCAATTAAAACTTTTGTTTGTGTGAATTTTCAGTAAATTCAGTATTTATCATAAATAAATACTGGTCGTATAAAATGGGATTAGTTTTGAGTATTTAGTAAAAATTTTTTACAACAAACAAAAATAAAAGATTAAACATGAATATTTTATAAGACATTTTGTTCGAATAGTGTTATCAAATTTAAATTATATAATTTCTTTACAAAGTTATTTAGGTTTAGTTTTTATGATGACATTTAGTATAGAACGAATTATATCAAAATCATTGCAATATAGAAATAAAACGTTACGAGCAAGAGCGTTGACAGTTTTCATTTCCCCTTGACACGTTTTATAACAATAATTAATAATTAAAAGCAAGCGCGCCTGAGCGCTAATGGATAGCGTAATTATTCGCATTTCCAACGTAAACAAATAAATTTTAATCAATTAAGAGTCACACAGATGGCATTTTTAACATGTCACACCGACTACTAATATTTATCGAAACGTTTAACTTTTTTGCAACTCCCGTTTGGTAACGGTAGTGTTGCGTGTGCCTGAAAAATCAAATAATTTGACGCGGTTGCAAAGTTTAATGTGAGCGATAAATCACTCCAGCGCAAAAAGATGCGCGTCCCTTTTTGCCTACTTAATCATATAATAAGCCAAACTCCTATTCATCATAATTTGTTTGGAAAGGAAAGGTTAAGTGAATAATTAAATTTCCACCAGAGAAAAGATACGCTTTTCCAAGATATGATGCGTTGTAATGCAGTGAAAAACTAAGTAGGAAAACTCTTCGTGTTGGTATAGTACTCAACGGATATCGGAAAGCGCATGGAAGGGTACGGGGCCCTTGTTGGAGTTCCACAAGCTGCGCTGGAGCGAATTGATGCCCGTCGGCGGTGTATTAATGAAGCACTACTCCTCTTTGCACTCCCATAAGATGTTCGCATTGTATCAACATTGTGTTGCAACATTGTGGCGCCCGAGTGCGCGGTTTTTGCTGCCGCCGACCATGCATTGAGGGGTGTCTAGGCGGTAACAAATGGTAGACAAACCGTAGAATAGTGGTTCGCGGAACAGAGACGAACATGGCGCGCATTTAATTTGGCCGCCGGCCGAGTTTGTTTATCAATACGTGTCGGCGGAAGGCGCGCACGCGGCGACTAGCGCGACCGGATCGTTACTCGTTACCGGCTTGCCCCGTGGGACATAATATTTTTTTCTATTCAAACCTCGTACTATGTTTCATGTTTTTGCTTCCATATTTTAAATTTAGATTTACATGCTAGTCAATAGAGAGCGTCTTGTTGCAAATTTAGTTTGGTTAGTTAGGTACAGATGACGCAATTTGCATTGAGTTGAAAATATACAGCAAATATTTTATTAATTAGCAACAGTCAGTGCGTGTGTAGGCAAGTTTGTACGACAATTAATTATGTTTATTAAATTAAACGGCAGTGGGGACGCTTCGCTTTTTATCAGGCGCTCGTAACGAACGAACATTTGTTGGCTTCTTATAATCTGCTGGCTGTTAGCATTTCAGCCTGCTAATGCATCGGGCTGCCCGCAGCGAACACGCACGCAACGCGAACGCATATCTTACCCGTTTTTACAGCGTTTATTAGTTTTATCTTTCGCTGGTAGCACAACAAATGTAGAATACGAGTGCGCGCGTTTATACATTTGCGACAAAGTGCTCCACGGCCATGGACAGGTGTGAGGGCAGCACCTGGACGCAAAACTGACATATCTACACATGTCACACGAGAGCACCACACACGAACCACGCGTGTGCGCAAAAAGTAACTCGGCTAATTTACCTCATTAATTTTCCTTGCTTTTAGCGAAGGGGAGAACACATTTATTTATGCAAACACATATCCTACAATGATGTAATTTGACAATTTTCAAAAATTTTAATTGCTTCCCGAATAATATTTATTTTAGTTTTAATTTTTTTAAGCTAAACTCAGAAACAATGCTGTCAAAGTTTCTTAATTAGTTTTAGCAATATAACATAATCATTTGATTGAATTATTGTGATATTTTGCGCAATATTTACACAACCCAATATACAACCCAAACATAAGTATAAAGTGTAGCAAATGCTTGGCAATAAATGTGTATTGGTGTGAATGTGTAGCCAGAGCAAAGTGGCATATCAGGCGAAGAGTCTGGAAGACCACCGACACTGTTCGAAAAATCGTCGAGAATTGCAATGAAAAGCATAAAACAACGACGACGCATAAAACAACAAATTTTATAGCAACATTTTATTGCGCGACTCGGGCAATACACGTATAAATGCACACCGATTGCTTGAATGCAAAACACACACATAATTGAAGGAAAAACCTACAAGAACAAGTATTAAACTGATACAAACGTTAACATCATAAGATGCCAGAAAAAAGCGCTACTTGTGTCTGATGTGCCTTGCGCGCGTTGATTATATCTGAAAGGGAAGTTTGTTGTTTTAAACTTTTTCCAAGATATACCACATCTGCAGCAGCGGCAGCTCCACGGTAGCAGCGTCTGATATGTATCTAATTTTAATGCCGAAACTCGCTCGAAGAACGACCAGATTAATTATGCTAGATATTATATACTTAAATAATTTTTGCGTCCGTTTTCTGAGCGAATCGTGGATTTGCATCAACGCGAAGCAAGCGAGGCATAAATTTCGCCTCGAGTTTTAAACTGAACTTAACTTCGCGCATAAATAATACAATGTTGACGTAAGGAGCAGACAAGTACGTAAGCTCCGGAATAAAAACATGCTAATAAAATTCACCGCTTTTTATTATATTCAGCGTTTAAAACAAATTTTGAAGAGTATGCGCGTTGGTGCCGGATTAAAACTGATAAAACGAAAGTTCATAAAATATTGGGTGTTTTGCATTTTGAATTGTCTGTAAAAGTTAAAACATTGTAAACAAATCTACTATTTTCCATTGTAAAATTTAATAGACTTTCTTTAATTTCATTCTTCTTTTAGTGCCACTTTGATCAATTTTCTCTACTTGTGATTACAAAGTATCAACTTCCGTACACATCAAGTACCTAATAAAACAGTAAATAAAATGTCTCCTTTCAAAGAAGGCGTTGGATCTGGCACCGGAAACATATGTTAGGCGATTTAATCGGACGGTGGGATCGGACTTTCTGACTAAAATGGATGAGCGGTAATTATCGATGAATCGTACGCAAACTGCATACAGCTTAACACCTTTAAAGTAAGTTAAATACACAACCCGGTGGTACAGGGGGCGCGTTTATATCAAATGTGTGAAAGTATTGCCTGCGGAGTATACCAAACAAAAAAAAACTGTTTCACACCCAATTATGGTGTTCACATTTCATGAGCTATAAATCAAAACGACACCTCGATACTTCAAATCTTAAATGGACAAACACCTTGATGTGGTAAAAAATGCTATTACGGTTATTTTATTAACGGAAACATACAATTAGAATGTTGGTAGGTACCTATATTAATATACGAGTAGGTATTAGTTTTGTACCACATTTCCAAAAGAGTCTTACCTCAGATTGCAAAGAAAAGGTTATGTCAATAGTAACATAAGTATCTGATAGGTATTTATGATAAATGTTTAGATCTCGGAAAATATTAAAACCTCATATCGGGCCGTGGTCCAAACATTTTGAGAAACACGACCTGTGCACATTTTGCATGCTGGAGCAGGTTTTGAGGTTTTTATGTTTAATATACACGTTATAATGACTGCAAAATATAACTTTCGATGTTCTCAATTATGCTCGACTTGGGCATCAAGAAATTAATAAAATTAAACTTGTTTAATGACCGAAAATATTATTTTATTATTTAATTTTTTATTTTTTTAATAACCTTAAATAAATTAATTTAAGACAGTTCCAAAATAATTCAGAAGAATTACAATTGACAACAATTAAAAGTCGAACGCAAAAATTATTAACCAAAACTATGTCTAAAACGTCCTCTCCATATCCCAAATAACAATTTCTGGGACAAACATAAATCTTAACGTAACTCTCAATAAAACAACCAACCTCGTGATGAAAGGGCATTGACCATAAATGGAATTAGCTGATGTGGATAACAAACCTTAAATTTGTTAATGAACATACCTATGCCCGCACGCTTGATTAATCACCATACTAGAACAACCAAACACGCTGAAGTTGTCGTCGCCCTACCTGTTGTAATGAGGCGGTAACGACAGCTAAGTACCGTTCGCGAACATGTTAAACGCTCGCCGCCGTTTTATTTCATTTCGCCCTCTTAGTCGAACAGTCTTTCGTCGCAGTTGCTATTATGTTTTCGTATTATTACTACTAATAGCAATATTAAATTAAATTTACATGCGGTCATAAGCACCACGTTCAGAAGGCTGACGCTTGGCGATCATTAAAAAGGTATTAAAATTGTATTAAAAGTGCGTAATTATAGATATTAAAATAAGTACACGCCGAAGAACGCGCCGCAGTCCAGTCAGTCTTATTTCTACATGTATGAAATTCCGGATGAGTTCTGACCTCAAACGTATAAGGCCCACGACGGCAGAAGTGGTTTACGACTTGACTCTACCTAGGGTCGCAAAGGCCGCGAGCAACACGAGCACCGACGAATCACACAACTTATTATTATATTAAGATATGTTGGCGCGATAAAAATTTTATACTTCATTACTTGGTGTTCCGCAATGCCCGTTAGCACACCGACAGCCTCAGAAGTGTTGTAAATTAATAGTATCATGGCTATTTTGACTCCCTCCTGGAATTACGAGCGCGTTCGGCGCGGCAAAGGTGTAATGTTTATTTTCTAATTTGCTTATCGCTCTATCGATCATGCAAATGTGCAATGTATAATATACGGGCGCGCTGGAGAAGTCGATGAAACGTTGATATTAAAAGGTCGTTTATTTTATATCTGTGTCGATTTTTGCCTTTTATGGTTACCAAACCGTCGTATAATGACAAACGACTTTTATGACTAATGAGAGACAAACAAAAGCAAATTAACAATAAAAAAAAACATTTCTGAATAATTTTTACGAATTTTTTTTCACACCATCACGAATTGATCTTAAATACTGAAGATTTCGAAATTTTTATATTTTGGACATTTTTCACAACAATGACAGCTAAAATATCAATCAGATTTTGTGATAAACATTTCTCAATGCACATGTATAAAAGTAAAATTGAATTATTTCGCAAATTGAAACAGAATGCCCTAATGTTCTATGTAATGTTCAAAAAGCATAGGTATAAAACAACGAAACAACTTATCTTGCATTGATATTTTATAGTGCATTATAATTTAAATTAAAATATGATTGTTTGCTCGCGTAATTTCAAATGCAGCAACTTATAAAGACCATTTTCTAATCTAGCCGACATTGTTTGAAAATCAAGTGTGTAATTGAGTCGTTTATTAAATTGAATATGCTTAGAGTTCGGATGAAAGCACAGAACTACAGCGCCAATCAAGATATATCGAAAAGGCGTCTCCATAATTAATTATAATCGCGCATTATTAATGCTAATTTATTGAAAGTAGACGGTAACCGGCGCGGCGTGGCGGCTCTCAGCGTTGTTACACGCATGTACAATTCGCGCTTTTGAAGCGGCGGCACCGCGCATTGTTATTATAATTAAATAATTTTAATACCGCGGACGCGCTCGATTTAATATGTGTGGCGTCGGAGAAAAGGCAATTTCAATGCGCGAAATCGATTCATCGTTGTACGCATTAGAATACATCGCGAGTACCTCACATATGAAATATGGCAACTTATTGTTGTCTCAATGTAAAACGTCGCAAAAAAATGTGTTCTCAAGCGGTGTGCTCTAAGCATACCGCAAATTTCTCACAGTTAGTCATTGTGTGTTGAAGAAGTCACTTCGATAGCAAGCAGCAGTTCAAAAGTAGGTAGATATAAATCAAGGTTAGGTTAAACCCACTTGTCATTCTGTGCCTATAACAACTTATCAAAGATAATTATGACGGCAGAAAACGGTGAAAATGAGGAAAACTGCCTCTTTAGTCACAGGCTATAAATTTTTATTTTTGAGATTCAGTAATTAATTGTAGTGTTTATATTTATTATTTGCAGAAAACACAGTTTTCGCAATTAACTCGAAAATCAAGCATTTATTTCCGTACAATCTAATTAGTAATTGAGTAATATATTTATAATTTGCGTGGTAATAACTTGCAATTATCAATTAATTCCTGTAATTAAATGGTAACGCGTTTGTATCTGTGCGAGCTCGCATCGTTTGTACTTAATTACGTCGAACATGTTATTAGTTATTATAACGAAGAGCAAGCGATGCAAACCGTACGGCAATTGAATTTAATACGTGTATGTTGTCTGTTAATTAAAATTTATTTATAAATAATTGAACAAGTTTTGCCATCTGAAAATTACTACCATGTATCAACTGGAATATGCATAGAGACATTGCAACAATTTCCGATCGATGACAGAACTTTGACTCCAAACAAGTTACAACTTCAAATACAGGGATGAGAAATGGAGAATTTGTAAACATACTAAACATTACTAAACATAGAAAACACAGTGTTGAACGCGGCGAGCGGAACAACGTTGTTCTGTATAATAGCTATCCTAGTGCTGGCCAGGCACTTCCGTTCTTGCGCCGGGACGCTCGGGGGCTTGTGCGCTGTTTACACGCTGTCGAACAGAACGACCCCACCGCCCCCGCTGCTCGCTGGCCGCTCGAACGTGTGCAGACTTTATCCACGCCATAATTGTATGTATTTGCATGACCACACTGTGTATACTCGTGTTTCCCTCGTCCGCTAAGTACATAAATGTAATATGCAGCGTGTAACTAAGATTATGCGCGAGATAAACGTAGTTAGTATCGTGTTACATGCAACGCGCACGTAAACAAGATGGCCGACCAGCGGCGTGATAAGTTTCACATCTGAATGTAAACGTTCGTACGTTTTTGAAGCGAAGGCGAAAAGGAAAACGTCGGAAAATCGTATATCGACATTTTCGGCGGTAAGTCTTTTTCGATTTGTGGGTGTGGAGGGTGAAGTCATTTGTTCGACACGGGCGCCAACAAATCCAAAATCCGCGCCACGGCGCCGAGACAATTCGCTCGCGGAGCGGTTTTCAAAAGTGAGTTTTCATTCCATGTGCGGTTCCGTTTGCGCCGTAGTTTTCGACGCGCACAATGGAAAACGAATCGAGTCACATTGTGGCCGTTCGCACCCGGGCGGGTGTTCCTTCTTCGCCTAGCTCGCTTTTCCGCACAATGCCGCAAAGTCGACGTCGGGGGAGAAGTTGCACAAAACGCTCCGCGGAGCGCAACTATAGCGTATCAGTCGATCGAAAGATAGGCAAGCGTCTGGCACACTTGTAAAACTCGCCCTTAACTTTTTCCCCTTGAGATTTTCGTTTCTTTCATTTCCAGTTCACCGCGTCGGATTCAGGTGAAGATTTTACTTTAACGCACACACTGCAAGCAGAAGAAGACACACCTATTACACCCGGCTCGAAAGTTATCGAGTACACAGGTGGAGAGCGCTTGAATATCTGTAAATGAAATCGTTATCGGATACCGAATTTCGGCGAGACTTGGTTTGTACTGGGATTTGTAAGCATTTTAACTTTTTTCTGTTGTTGTAGCGTTAGAGATTTGTAAAATTCAATGATTTAACAAAATACTTAATCAACTTAATAATTATAAATTTTAGTTCATTCCGAGTCAAATTCTGTTTCTCTAAATTCTGTTATTCTATAAAATTGTGCAAAACATTAAACCGGCAAGACTTTGTTATGTTAATATCATATCACGTTTCCAAGAATTTATATCAATAAAAGCGGCGATTGCTGAGACACAATAATTGAAAGTTGCACACGATGTGCAAATGACCTGTAGATACGAATGAAGATTTGTTTCGCGCGCGTCATAAACAGCAATAACACAATAATGCACTCTTCGTGGAAATCCACAGAAATCAAGTGCTTCGCACACGTTTCCTTCGGTCGGCACCAACAATACAATATCATTAGACTCATAAATGGCAGCCAGTGTAGTCGCTTGTAGCATTATTGTTGCCAGTGGCGCGATGATTAAACACTACACACGCTTCGCACCACACATAGGTGCTCACCCTGGCCGTCGTGATTAATGAACACGATGACAGTTCGTTAGCGCGATTATCGGCGTGTTTCGATTATTCAATGCACATTATCGCTTTCCAGTACGGAATTATTTAATTTACAACACCCATGCGCACACACCTCTATCGCCTTCGTCCACTTCATCTCTACCAGCATAATTCGTGTTTAATCCGAATGACTGGATGCTTTCACATTTCTCAATTCATTCCAATTCAATCGCGATCCAAGATCAATATTTTCACACTGACATTCTCGACGACGCTTGCTTGCAAGCGTGAAAGACGTTTCTCGGAATGCGAAACATTGCTTGCAAACGAATTGAAGAAAAATAAAAGTAAAAATAACATGACTCAAGGCTTATTTTCATCTTTTCTTGGTGTTTAGTAATACCCATAAAAACAAATCGTAAAACGGCAAGTACTAATTAGAATTCATAAACTGTGAGTTGGACAATTTTCCTTATTTAGTTTTTTTCGCTTTTTGTGGCTTTGTTTAACACTCAGATTAATTAAAATGAGAGTGAATGACTAAGCTGTTTAAAACGACTAATAATGGTAATCGTTGGGTTTGTATGTGAGCTGACTGTCTGGCGAGCGGGACGAGGTGTTCGTTTGTTTACTTACAGGTGCGCTGAGCTCGTAAAAATATTGAAAAATTCTTAATTACCACGCGTTCTCAGCTCACGACGAATGCTAAAGGATTAATAACTGCCGTCATTAAGCAAGCTGTTAACATGTTTATACAAAGTTTAATTATACGTGTTATATTTAAGTCAGGCAATAAGCTACTATTAGTGACGTGCAAAAAATCGAAAATATTAAGTTTAACCACGTTAAAACGCAATTTAGACGCGTACATATTTTTGTTATGTTTACAAAACGAAGCAAAAATGTTCAACGGTCTGGATTATGCATTATAACTAATATTATTAATACGCATGTGAGTTTTTTTTTTGTTTTTTGTGACTTTTTCACACAAAAACTACAAAACTAATTTTGAGAAAGTTTGACAAAATCAAGTAGATTACTTTTTGTCATAAAAAATAATTTGAAAAGTGTAAATTAAAGGATAAGAGTTGGTATAGGGATTCCATCGCAGATTTATTTAATTTAATCTGTTTTTTAAACTAAAAACGAAAAAAAAGCTTATTGGCGAGATACCGTATCATTTAAATAGTCCTTCAGCACATAAAAACGAAAGGTTTTTTTTAATAATACAAAATTGCTGGTAAAAATTAAATTTATGAAGTAAATTGTCATTTCAATACGAGTATAAACCGAATGGATCATTGTTTCATTTCTTCGGTTATTATTGCTTGGTAAAATTAAGTTTTTACCATGATTTTGCGCATTGAGTCGTTCAACTTATTTTAATTTATACTTTTGTTGACAACCTTTTTATCTGTCACACCTAGAACATCCCTAGGCAACTTAAACGTTACTTTCCTTAGTGTTGATATGTTTACAGCTTGTATAATTCACGCAAACATTTCAACACACAAAAGCTGCTAACAAAGCATATCAATTTCGTACAAATCATAACTTGTCAGTTATGCTTTTACACCGAAGCGCTGCGGCCTGTCGCCAGAAATGCCACCGAATGCACGATCCGTGTTCTCCGCGCAGCGCAAAACACAAAAGATTGACAGCTACATTCTCTTGGCATTTGGCTTCCTTTTATTGCACATATCAGCATAACATAGCAGTGCCGGGCAACAATGCAGCGAATGAAGGATACGTGTACAAGTTTTGTGGAAAACAACTCGTGTAGGTTTACAATGGTATTGCTCTAATGTTGCATATGTTATGCATGTAGGCTACGCATTTGTTCCACCTCTAGGGACTACCTCTGGTGGGATGGGTAGAACAAAATAAAACCGGCAGCAGGGTACAAAAAAATTGTAACACTCGTCGTCAATGTGATATGTAATAAAAGCCTTTTTCTAGGAGGACTAAGAGTACGTCGCGTATGTGAGTGTCATTTTCGTAAATGTGCTGCTTAGCCGAGTAGAAAAATGTCAAGATATGTTTGACATGGGGCGCTTAATGTATTAGCCTCGCGACTCTCATGTGCGCCGCTGACCTAGAAAAGGATTTTTGGTCGTGCGGGAATAAGGGCGCAGGGCGTGCGCGACGTAGACGACACACAAAAGCCAAAAAACCAACAAGGGAATAAGCCGGAAGAAATAAAAGACTCACCCAAAAATACTTAGTACGAGCCCAATTCTTTTGGGCAACGCTATAGCGGCGTGATGGGAGAGGACGAATTCATTAGGTCACTTTCTATTAAAATCACACAGCACATTCTTTTCATTCAGGTGGCGACGTTTTTTATAGTTATGAACGTAACTAAGTATTTTTGGGCTGAGGGACAAGTTGCGAAGCCAACGGGTTGAAGTATCGTGGAGTTGGTTGGACATTTGATTGATGCCGGTTGCAGCGTCGATGAAAGACTGAAACTTTGCACGAAACTAAGAAACGTTCGGTGAAAATAAGGCAAGAACAAAAACCGCGAGACTGGTAGACGGACACACCGTGGGGACCGGTTGGACGCGTTCGCCTTATTTGGAACTTGTTGATGAAGGTGCGTTGATGTAACAAACTAACCGGCATAAGTAACAAATATAAAAACAAAGAAATGGAACTTAAAATTTTGTTGAAATATTAAGATTACTGGAAAGAAATTATGAAATAGTTCTAAACCTAGTTGTGATATAATTGACTCTGATAGTTGTTCGAGTATCTAACGCGAGATGGCGCTAGCTACACTAGCATCACCTAACTTTACTAAAAATAACTCAAAATTAATAGAATAAAGCTGTATCACACTAAATTTTACACAATTTAATCGAATAAAATATTTATTGTAAATACTTGCTTTGTTTTTTATAATAGTTTTGATAAAATTTGTAATTTACGACTTCGATATAATGAAATATATTAATCTTTCTAAATAACATATCAAATAACTTATATTCGATGATGAAACTTTTCTACGTGTTAATAATAAGTGTTAATAATACCGGAAGTGCATAAGGTGTGATCAGACAAAGGCTGCAATTTGCCACTGTTGGGGGGCGTTCTAGTTGCCGAAATATATTACGCCCCAATCTAAACATACTTGGATGTCGTAGCTGAGAGGTATATTGGCGTGTAAATGCGGCCCATTATCCACAAATTTCAGGTATTAAATCATTCGGAATAATTGCCCGCCGCGCCTGGTTGCTACCCGCGTTGCATCGAAGCTATAAAACGAGCGCATCGCAACCATGGCAACCGAATGGACAGTGTAAACGTAAGCGGGGCAGTTTGATTGTAAATTCGGGTTGTCTAGTCGCTCATTCATCATAGCACTGGCCCGGCATTTTGCCAACCGTGTGGATGAGCGGCGCATCCGGTCGTCTCATCAGCAGTATATCGTCCACCGGGGCGTTAAATACATCACCTGCGATTAACTTGTTAATAATTATTAATAGGTGCACCGTGCACGAGCAAACGAATGGTGTAACCTCCTAATAAACCACTGCAGTATTTTAGGTCCAAAATGCGTTTCGTGCGGATGAGCGACGTAATACAATTAATTTATAGTGGGTTAAATAAACTGCGAGTATCATCGTATTTTCATTGAAGGTATCTATTAATATTAAAACAAATAAGTATATTCCAAAAATACCAAAAATCAAAAAATTAATTTTGTGGTTTTATTGCGCATTAAATGACCTATAAAATGTTATCATTTTGGTTTTTACCATTATTGTCCCGCATCGACACTGTAGCAAGTTGGCATTCAAGTAGTCTTTTAATATGTTTGACGCGTGTATGATGGCCTGATGAAATTATTATGAAAATGCGACGTCAAGAAATCAAGCAGCTTTCTTGGTTGCCCAGGCGATGATAGGCTGGTGTCTACATGCGGACACATGCCGTAATAAAAAAATGAAATATTTCCGTTGTAAGTGTCAGTTCGAGGCGCGTCCGCATCTTGGCAGGGGTATAATCTTCCTAATGAAATATTAAACGAGTATTAGCGGACGCACCAGCGTGGAGCGCCGGTAAGGCCAAAAGAGTGTTAACTCGTGGGCCGATATAATTAGAGCTGACCAACGAAACATCAATCTTTTTAGAACTTCCACTCATGCCTGAACCACCGCCAGAGAACAGAAAAAAATCTAACTGCAGTTTTTATGTCGATATGTATAGTGCAGTTAGCTTTCAGTAATGATCTTAATGTTATGTTAGATGTGTTTCTTATTATAAAGTCAAAATATGTTTTCTTTGTTTCAGAAATATGCAAGCTGTGCTGTTCCAATCTCTTCCGGACGTTAACAATTTCATGTTAGGGTATCCTTTTTGCTTTAGGTGACTGCTTTACATCCGTTGGCTTCATTATATCTCCGTTGTGAGCAGTCGTTCTTTGATATGAGGTTTTATCAACAACAGCCTTCGCCGCTGCGCACAGACTAATTAACGCTGAAATTGTACATTCTTTGATTATCTTTTACATCATTCTATTCGTTGTAACCAAGTTTCATGTTAAAAGCATTTTAACTGAAAGCCAAAATAAATAATTTTAATTTATTTTTAAATTTAATATTTTCACTTTAAAAATAATGTATGTAAACTAAAATCTCAATTTGACTGACTTGAGTGACTTGAAACTTCGTTTCGTGTCATGATGTGCGTCCCCAGTTTACCATGGCGCTAATGCATCATTGTTTGCATGTCGCGCGCGCCCTGGACGTTTCGTTTTAATAAGCAAAATCTTTTTATCATCAGCTCATCAAATACTGCACTCCCCGACTCACCCTATGATTGCGCCGCATTGCGCTGATGGCTAAAAAGCCGAGAGGTCCTCCGGACTCGAGAAGGGCGTTGTTTTAAAACAGAGCGACAAATCCTTTAAAGGGGTATTTGTCCCAACGGGCGTCAGGACACACGAGTGTCGGAGTTGATATCTCTTCTCTGGAGTGTTCCGATGTTGTTGGCTCTTCTAGCCTGCAGTTTGCGCATTTCCAACGAGTGCACGCGTTATAGTTATTTAACGTAAGCATGCGCACCCAACAGCAAAAAAGGGCAAACGTAATCCCTTTTTCCAATATATATGTCATCTGCGCTGTGTACTACTTAGAGATTAGAGGATTAAACCGGCATATATCGCAATATGAATGCATAAATAACTATCTATTTATCTAATATTCGCGTTAAATTGAATTGGAAACATTTGTATTCATTTTAATTAACACGCTCGGTACTAAGTAAACGTATTTATCAACCAGCTATATAATATCTATAACCAATCACTCTTATGCTAGTTTGTAATATGAAAACATCAAAATCCTTCGAGAATCCAATCAAATCCGAAAAATAATAATCCACATATAGTGTGATGCTTTGTCAATAACTCCAGCTTCCACTTTTGTGATGTTGAGCCGACGGATGCCATTGACATAATTCGGCAGCATTTGTGCGTGTGCATTTAACCATATGCGCATATTGCGTAGATTTGCGCACTTATCGCCCGAGTCCGCAACTTTGTGTCATGACAACAGCGGACTCGGTGTCTTCATGCATGAACGTTGACTTTTCGTTTTACTCTGCCCGACGGCTGCTCTGATTACTGCAAAACACAGCTGAACAGATGCAGTAAGCAGCTCACTCTACGCTTGCGAGTAGTAGTTATATGCATATGTACCGTTAGCAGCAGCAAGAAATGATTGACACATTTTCCCGAGCGGCCATTCTCGTCGCTGGTGCGTGCACAAATGCGTCACAACCCCGTGCGAATTTCGTGCGCTGTCAATCAAAACACAAAGGCCGCCAACCTTGCCACACACACGCTCTTCACTTCGAGGCAATCTACACAAATGGTGTTAAAACGAAGAAAAATTATGCAATTGTTATCATAAACAACTTTATTTTCGAAATTAATGGACAAAAATGTATGTTTTTATTATGCTTTTCAATAAAATTATACTTAATTAACTAATTAATTATTTACACTTAACAAACCACCACAATCAAGATAACTCTACCCATTTTCATTGCGTTCTATCGCCTTTGCGCTAATAGATAGCACATTCTATTAAGTAAATATGAAAGCAATGAAGATCATTATCGGTTTGTGTTGTTTGCGCTGTGTGTTTTGCGTCCCTCAGCGCGCCAGTAGAGTCGCAATCACACAACCCCCTTTACTCCACTTTACAGCGTCCCCCTGTGTTTCATCGGCGACGCTAAGGCTTGGGGATTAGTTGACTAATGTGATTTATTACTGAGATATTCGAGGGGTTCTGTGCATTAGCTTCATATAGTGCGTTTATGTGCGATTCTGTTAACTCTATACTCCAAGGAGTATACAGCTACTTGATGAGTGGCCCTCTTACTCTGACTCTAAAGTCGATAGAAAGAAAATAGCGAGAAGGAAAACGTCTGTTATACTGCGCGTCGGTGTCGAGCGCTACCCACCCCATGGCGCGCAGCCTCGACAAACTAATTAATACGTTCTTACTAACCTTTTAATCATAATTGGATGGCGATATTCCGAGCTGTTTAATCCAAGCCAACTCACACAGAACCCCCAAATTGGGTGCTTAGGTTTGAAAAAGAAAGAGAAAGGCTGGAGCAGTGTGCTTGCTTTATGCATGTGTACACAGATGGAGTAAACGCTTCGAGGATTTTGATGCAAAACTTTTAATGTCTCGTTAATTAACTTTGCAAATTTATTATAAACGAAAATGACGTTGTGTGTTCTCGAACATTGGCTAGACTAGATTTGCGTTTCTATATACTTCGTGCACTTTTGCAATTAACACAACTTGTAGTCAAATAATTTTGCTTCTAGCGTAATTTCAGTAAACACGTACGCGATATGCATCGCTCTAATTATAATTGCTGTAGCGATGTTCCCTCATTTACTCGCATCCACATCGATCTTGATAACTTGTCGCTGCAATGTGCAACAAACTTGAAAATTTTAACTTGTGAATATTCTTTTGTTATCATACACGCAAGCATTGGTACTACTGCATGCTTGTCTTCGGATAACGTATTTTACATAATTACCTGCGAATTGCGAACGATTTTTGCCAAACATTCATTACGTATTCCGAAGGCGCTGTAATTATTATTGACATATGTTATTGCAAATGAAAAAAACATAAAGCAACCGAAATTAACCCGCGCGTACGTGCAGAGTCTCCTCTTCACATTACATCTAGTTACTAATTATTTTAATGATAATTACAAATGAATAATTTATGCCTCAACAATATATTTACATTAATGCGCAATTTGCTTGGGCAAACGGGACCTGGAGGAGATTCAAGTTGCTCTGCCATAAGGAGAATTAAGTGCAGCAGCTTGTTTGACTTAACTTAAGTCATGATGCAAGTGATCGTTCATCACGATCAACACATCTATAACATGGTAATGTTTGTTTTGTAGTAATTAATTTAAATTTTTGTAGGAACATGAAATTTTGTACTTGAAATTTGAAACAAATTTGAACTTTTATTAAATTTGTACACACCTAGAAGTACCTAAACCTTCTAAGAGTTATTTTTATTTAACTAGACATAATAATATTATTATAATACCCTTGTATTATAAAAAAATCAACCAATTCTAATACCTATGTCTTAAATTAGGTATGTCCGGTTCGAATTTAATTCACAAATACAGCTCACAAAACCGATTCGTCATATATGAATTTAATGCGATCCATGCACGTTTATGAGTAACACGAAACGTAAATGCAGCGAACGCAGGCAGTGTTGGGTACATTAAATTCGAATGTAATCACGATAAACTCAATCAGCCATTTAACACTCGTTTGGCTGTGCGGCACTCTGTTCAATTTAGTTAATTTATAAATATATTTCAGAGTTGATTTGCCACACGCGGAATACGCCTTCGCGCGCCACCCAAGGAGGGTTGTAGGCCGAGGTTTGCAAGGGTGGTTTTCGCAAGGGTTCGCTCCGACACCAGAGTGGAAAATGTGCTGGGTTATACTCGAGTGAGTCGATGTTGGCAGGCCAAGAGCCCTAATACAAAACGGCTCATTCGATCTACTTTATCAGGCCCGAACGAATATTTCATCCAGGGCGCCCGACTCACTCTGGTATGACTTTCATCGTATAATAAAGCAATTTGTTTCGCGCGCGCGATGTATTTGGTTTGCATCGATTTTTCCCCAGGCCGCTTGGAGAAGATCTCCGACGAACGAATGGTTGGCATGTAACTGAGTGTAATCCACCAGAACGAAATGAAAACAATGCAATCGGTAGCGGGGCGCTTCGTGGGGGTTAGGAAAAATTGAAGACCTTAATATTTGATGCGATAAGAGAAAACGAAACAACACGTATCCGTAGGTTGAAACTGAACTCTAGCAGAGGGAACAAATAGATTTGTTTGGGAGTTTAGCGTTGAGGAAAAATGCGCATTCACAAGTAGTTTACATAAGGTAAACTCCACACTCGATATACAAAAGGACTTCGTCTATCTCTTTGCGCATTGTGTTCTCGCCCCCGCACACACTATTCGCAAAGTTGTGAAACTTTATATTATATTTCGTGTTCGCTATATAGGCACTCGTATATGCGGCGCTGGTTTCCTTTTGCTTATGTACAAATATACTTCGCATATCGGAGCAGGGAGTAGACTTTTCGCTATTCAAAATTTTATATAAGAAATTTATACGCGCGCCACGCGAAACCAGCGCTACACGTTGTAAAACTTTCCGTTCAGACTTGTATTCGCGTCGTCGACGCTTTCTGCATAAACATGCGCCGCGACGCAGAAGGGTAGCTAGCCAAGCATTATGAAGTTTTAGTCGTACGAGTCTCGTACGGATGTTCGAAGAAGACGTCGCAAACCCTCCTTGGAGAACGTCCTGTTCTTGTTGATATTACTTTCGAATCTGGGGAGATTTTGTTTTGTGTACTTGCAAATTTCCTTCTTTCCAAGTTTGCGAAGCAAACTTGCCTTCGTTTATGGATTTCGGCAAAAAATATGATAACAAAAATTATTAAAAAATAAAAATTTCTTATTCATGCAATTTGCAGTTATTTAGTAAAATCAAATCTCCAAATAAATTGTATTAAAACGTAATTAGAAGCACTTTTTTTAGTTCTTTGCCAACAGCAACCTTTGCCTCATCGCAAATCACATCTGATGTACGTAGCGAACACAATGTGTTGACAGTGATCATCAATCATACATGAATTCTCCCCCGGACACCTACCGACGGGTTTTGAATAAAAAAGCTTCGCGTCGTGTTTGCGTCCACGATTTCGCGTCGAAATTGACTTCAACGATTCGGGTCGTTGCATTAGCCAGGTCGTACCATACTCGAAAGTACACTAAACTTTTCATAGCAAACGCTTCACCAACACATACTTACCTATACACAAAAAATATTACATCTGCAGATTTCCAGGCATTATAAAAAAAATCAATGGATAAGGTAATAACATTGATATCATTTAACTATGGTGTACAATGGTTAAAATGCAATACCATCGAATAATCTTAATACCCCGGATCTAGTTCATACCGATGCCAAGAGGTGGCATTAAGTGCTG